TGACTAGTGTAGGGGATGGTTTGAAGAAAGTCAGAGGCGGCCAAAGCAAAACGTGGCATCAGTCCACAAAGTCACTAACTTCTAGTCTGAGCCATGTTGGTAGATGGAGATCCTTTCTACGAACTAATTCTTTCTTCCTGAACTATGTCCTTATATACAATCTTTCTTTTATGTATTACCACCCCTAAATTAACTACTTCTATGAATCCGGTGTTCATCTTATTGTGCTAATGAGTTATAGCAACTTGGACAGATGCACATTTGTGCATGGTCTTACGTTGTAGCTGACTGACTGTAACAATTTGTTTTTGTCAATTGCCTTTATACAAAATGTATCGTTCAAATTCGATTATATGGTGATGCAAATGAGTTCTGATTTTCAGGTATATGGATGCTTTAAATACATCAATTTCAGTCACTTGATTGTATTTTTGACTTTTACTTTAGCCTCTTTGTTTTGAACATTCAATAGTACCATTAACATTTAAACACACATAAACCATGTGGTTAAAAAAAGAATACGTAAAAGGTTTAGTTAGTTATTATATTGTAATAAAATTATGTATAATTTAATATTAAATATATTTTTATTATATCCCAATGAGTAAAAACATTGTATTTTTGATGTTTCGAGACTTAATGTAAGCCACTTCTTTAGAGTAAATAAATAATACACAAAAGAAACAATGAAGAATATTTTTGGTACAATCAAAATCATAATAGATCTGAATATGTCAATTTCAATTTATATTTATTATTAACTTTATACCCAATGTTCATTTTATTTGATACTATCAAGTTCAACTTTAGCGTTAATACCTATGTATAATTTGTTTTTTAAATACGAAAGAATAATTATCGGAATCGGATTTGTGGAGATTATAGTAAGTTAACAATTGAATTCATGAGTTTATTTAAGCTAAACCACTCTGGGAAACCTCGAATCACTGAGTGGCCATTTCGTCCTAGTATAAGACACCGTTGGATACCGGCTTAATGGTTTACAGATTAATCGTTCGTGTGTGAGACTGAAGGTCCTGAGTTCGAGTTCCGCAAACAGGATCGTTAGTGCGCACTACTGAAGAGTCCCTCATCAGGATGAGACGGCTGTCCAGTGTTTTCATGTTTTCACTGATGATCTAGCTTGAATCAATTCATAAATTCAATTATGAAAGAATAATTGACTAAAGCATTTCGGAAAAACTAATATCTATGATACAGATAAAATAAATTTGTTCTAGCTCTTAATTTTCTATAATTCTTTGTTCTTACATTATCTTAACATAAATCTGGTATTTTAGAAAAGAAGATGATCGTTTTCAGTAATATCGAATTTAGTTTTTCTTTCTTTATAATTTCTTTCCCTTTCCATTACTTTGAATAATAAGTTGAAAAATACTACTTTTTTATATTTGGTATAAATAAATAAATAAAATATTAGATACTAATGTACACAACTATTTATGGAAGCATGAATTAGCTAAATTTCGATGTCCATCAAATAGGCTACAATTGAATGATCGATAACGATAATTTCCCATTTCAATCATTTCATTATGAGTTTATATGATTATTATGAAAATAAATAGCTCAAGATTAATCCATTATACAAAATGTTGTACAGATTTATTAGAGTAACATTGTGATACTTCAGAATGGATGAAGTAAATATCGGTTATGGTACAGAAATAATTTATTTTACGAATTTCACATAGACAAAAGATAAATCATCACATGACTAACAGAAGTGAGAATTTACTGCTCATCTTATGCCTTTTCTGTTCACTCTTCATTGACCATTTGATATGTGGTAAGTTAGTAACGATAAGACTATATGTATGTTATTGATCAAAGTTCGTAGATCGGTTGGTGAAACTGTGATATTTTATTAACTATGATGACTGGGGCGTGCTTTACAAATACTGATTACAGTACCATCTATGACGAACTATAATAGCAGCTTCAGAGTGAATTAAAAGCAGGCTATGGATTGGTTGGTCCGTGACCTTAATGACTTTTTGACTGACTGTTAGGATGTCCACATTAGTTAAATGAGGACCGTAGGTGATATTAATTCGAATCTTTAGCAGATAAGCAAGCAGACTAATTCCACCGCACCCTACGAATTGTTGATTTACGTTTTTGTTCTGCCAATGTGAATAAGGATAATATAGATCGATGTCTGTTTTCATTTATGACCGATTGAGCGGATTATCTGATAAGTGATACTGATTCAGCTAAATATTTTCCCAATATATAACACTTGAACTTCATTGATATTTTTCAACCAGATTGATAGTAGTTACTCCTTTAGACGTCTTCAGTAGAAATGCAAAATTAATCCCATGAACAATTAGATAAACCGGTTATCAAAAGTAATTGTACCATTGAAACAGATATGAAGGAAAATGCAACCCGTTTGTGGTTTCTAATTGGTATGCATTAGTGACTTCACAAATGGAAAAATCTAGGCTTTTAACTTCATTCAATATATAATAAAATATGTTCATCTTTCAATGTTATTGGTATGTCGCTGCTTCGTCTTTGAATAAATAGACTTCATATATATCGTTTTTCCGTCAGGGTCTGAAGATCCTTAGCTTGATTTTAAAGATGACCCAAGTTTTGCGTTGATGAAAAGATACAAGCATGGATTAAACAGCCAATCCCTACTTATTTGTTTCTAATTATTCTCCAGTTGATGTCAACTCATGTTAGGAACCGTATTTACGAGAATAAATTTCCAGTCCATTCGTTTTCTCATATTCATATAAGCAGATAATCATCAAAAGTATAACCACTCAACTGAATTAGACCGAAACGATATTTTCCTGAATATTCACTAATAATAATATAAAATAGAGGAAACCGGTTATCAAAACAAATATTTACTTTGTTTGCTTCAAAGTTTCAGTGGTGTTTTTTGAAATCATGTTATATTAAACGTATAATTGTAAAGGATTTTGATTCACTGCCGTTCTTCATCGTCGAATAACATTCATACTGGTTTTTGAAATATACTTTTTATCTCTAGAAGCTAGTAATAAATGTCGTCATCAATAGCCACTAAATAAAAGGAAATTACACCGTTAAAATGAACAATGGTGTATTTTATTTTGAATTGTATTTCCTTTTTAATAGTCCGAGACTTAACTACACATGATCGAGCAATACTAATGTTAAGGAAATAAAAAAGTCAAGGTTATAAGCTAATAAAGTAATAAGTTGACTGGTCTATCCAAAAGCTATGATAACCCATGTAGACGTGACTTAGTATCAGATGATTTACTCCTTGTGAATGTCCAGACTAGTGCTGGATATAAATAATTATGTATATACTTGACATATGATCTAGAGATTAACTATTTGAATTCCTAGACCAGCTGAATGTTTTTTCGAGTCAATTAAAGATCTTTTTCTAAACAACTTCTATTGTGAGTTCAAATCTCGCTAGGCGGGATCGTGAATGCGCACTGGTGAGAAGTCCCACAATAGGACAAAACGTCCGTACAGTTCTTTCAGGTTTTCCATGGTGATCTAGCTTCAATTGATTTATGATCTCAACTATTAAATAACATGAATATATCAAATTCATTGAAATTTAATTGAATGTAATGAATTTGAGAAGTTGATATATTTTTGAAAAGTATGCTTTAGAATCTCATTTAAAAAAACGTAAAACTTGAATACTTAAGTAGTTAAAAAGCATTTTTATTGATAATCACACTTAATAATTTGTACTAATTGATTCTAATGTAATTTTTAATGGTTTTGATTATCCCGTTATTGACATTCTTGATTGGTATATGTGTATCCTATGGAAATGAGCTCGATATAGTCAGTATGACATATGTCTGTATACAACCGATGGAATGTGGCTAGCAATGAAATTCAGGAGGCCCATTTCATCCTCTCTGGGACTGAACGGTCGGATGAACCTGTATCCCAGATTTTATGCTCAACCCGGAACACAAAACTATTACTGTTCACTTCAAACGTCAACGTTATATAAAGGCAATCAGCATAGGACGCGTGATTACCAACCACGAATGTCAACGGAGGTATAATCCAAGTTATTACCAATTAAAATTAAAACTCATATTCGTTGCACAGGTGAGTGAATATCTGAAATCAGTAGTTAGGTGAATAATGTATTGATTTTCGAAGTGAAAGGTACTGGGTTCCAGCCTCGGAGTAAACGCCAACTTTAGAATCCAGAGACATCCGACTGATGCATCCCAAATAACGCGAAATTCACGCCCCTTGGTTCCATTAGTAGTTACATTTCATGTATTCTTTACTAATGCATTTTTTAAACTATATTCTATTGGCAACTTCTGAATCTTCTTAACATCTGCACCTCTGACAACTATTTTTAAGATCATAGTGTTATGAACGTAGGTATTTCAGTTAATTTTGCTTTTTTTTCTATGTCAAACTAGCGAAACTTTGAAGCTTGACGAATTCGGATGAGAAAATTACTGTCATATAAATCATTTGAAAAATTGATGTTATTTTTAGTTTTCCAAAATTGTAAGATTAACCCTTCTAGATGACAAAATAACTTTATTGTATGATCTTAAAGAGAGCAAGGACGAAGATATTTTCGTTAAAATTTCAAGATGGCGGAGAAGATTTGTAGCTCAGGTGGATGATTTTGATGGAGTTTCGTTCTCTGAGCTGGATAGTTTGGTCGTGGAGCTTTCATCGTTCTTCTGAACAAGATCATCAGCACAAACTTCAGATAGAAGTGAAGTGTTCGAATCTCTCCACATGTGGTCCACAGCTTGTCTTGTAGACATCGAGGTTGATTGGTTCTTGTTGACCTTAAACCTATCATTGTTTACATTTTTGTTTTGGTTGTATCTCCCTTTTCCTTGTACACTAAACTTATGACACTTATAAATAATCGTTAAACTATGTATTTACTGAACTAATTTGTGGATTATGTTTGCCATTTTTATACTAATCTTAATTTTATATCTGTGTTTTTTATTTAGCTGTGGACTGTAATGGACTTAGCTAGTAAAGCTGGTGATCTTGAAGAAACACTACACTCTAGTGTAAATCATCTTGAATATATTGTTAAACATTTAGAAGATGCTCTTATTATTCGACATCGATATAAGCAAAGTCGTAAAAATAACAGTTCCATTTCAACGGCACAAACATCTGTATCTAGTCCAGCTAATACAAATGAACAAATAGTAAATAAAGGTATTATCTATTTAAAATATTTATTTTGTAAATAATTACTTTTTATTTTAGATAATTCCTGGTATGCTATACTTCCGCTTACAATAAGCAATAGATCACGTATTCCTGGTCCACGACCTTGTTCACCACAATCAAGCAGTTATCTTAATGGATTATACTTAATTATTAAAGCGCTTTATGTTTTTAATTCAACTGGACAATTATTTTTGTTAGCTAGGTAATAAAAATAATCTCATTAATTTTGTTCTTCAGTATGCTTTTATGAATTACATGTTTTGTAATCCATTCAACTGGACCATTTTGATTTGTGTTCTTTTATATCATAATGAATGAGATTCTTCTATAAAGATAGATGATTTATGGAAAGAAAACAAACAGACAAGGAATAATAGAATGCTTAGTCTAATTCATGATAAAATATTTCGTATTGGTAAATGAATTTATCCTCATAACAAGTCATCAGCATACTGGCAGAAATAGAAACTATTACGAGCAAAGATGAATAGTGGAACGCAGAACGTGCATTTCGTCCTCATTGGAACTTGACAGTTGTACGTGCCTGCGTCTCAGAGCTGATATTCACTCTTGGACTCGAACCCAGTACCGTTCGCTTCAAACGCCATCGCGTTATTCACTTAGCTACTGATCCCTGACAGTCACGTGCTTGTGCAATGGGATGAAGTTGAAATTCACTTGTTCTTGTTTACTTGAATGTTCCCATTGATGTTTAGCACTGCAGTTGATCAGTCTCTTATTGGCATATGCGCATTCTGTGCGTATTGCCTCGACATTGTTTTGATCCATAAACATTACAAGCAAAGATGGATAGTGGCCATCAGTGAAATCAAGGACGCACATTTCGTCCCATTTGGGACTCCAACTGGATGTACCTGCATCCTAGAGTTGATGTTCACTTTTGGAGTCGAACCCAGTACCAAGGGAACTTCAAAATTGTTAGTTTTGGTGAGAATCCGTCAAGCTAAATTTTATCTAATGTCTACATTGAATAAATTTTTAAAACAGTTTACAGGTAACGTAACAGAAAAGATGCATCAACTATTCAATGTGGTTTTTGATTTGTTCAAGATACTACAAAATAATTAGTTCATCATTCAAATGGTTATTTGGCGTTACAATATTCAATATCCCTAATTGGAACATCACAAAAATGAACCAGTCTTAATTATGCAACTGAATTATGTAATTGTTTGAATATGGTAGATAAAACCTTTTAGCTATATAAACCATCTTACAGAGAGTAATTTAATAAAGATATTAGCCCCTGAAGAAGAAATTTAAATTCTGTAAAATTCGAATTATTGTTATGTAACTTACATAGTTAGGACGGAACGCGCTTCCTGGATTCCACTGCTAGCCACTATCCATCATTGCTTACAAAAAGCTTGTGAATTAAGGCAATATCGAGGCACACGCACAGTATGCACATATGACAATAACAGACTGATCAATTGCAGTCTTAAACATCCAGCTGACGAGTCCCAAATAGGACGAAACGCGTGTCCTGGATTCCACTGCTAGCCACTACCCATTACTGCTTACATAGTTTGGTTCCCTAAAGATACAACTTTGTAATGATATCATCAGGTTAAATGATATGTGGTGACACATAATGGATTGTCATCAATGATCCCTTTTTAATCAAGATTTATTGTCTAAACCATATTCTTATCTTCATGATTCAATAAATGTTTTTTTCTTCTCAATAACACTGCAACAAATTAAGATATTTGGGATAAATTATAATACTGATTTCTCTTTTGAGTCTTATAATTAGCGATCATTGTTTTAACAGTTAACGTACTTTTCATAAACCTACTGAGTCATGATGGCTATGACATGTTCATTGGGTTCAGTAATTAAACATGTTCGAAATTTCCTCCACCTTAAATGTGGTCAAGTTAAAGACGTAGGTAATATTGAAAGATTAGCTCAATCAACTCATTAATAAAAACAAACTCACCTATTGAATCCTAGATATCAATCTACTTAACAATAAAAAGAAAAGAAAACATTATTACTACTATTATTGATATTTGTACGTATCATTATCAAGGTTTGATTTCATAATTTCGAATAAATTGAGCATTGGATAGATTGTTATAAATAAATAAGTAATATCAATGGTTAAGGTCATAAGTCAGTTGAAGCTAGACCACCATGGAAAACCTGAAAGTCCTGGACGCCCGTTTTGTCTTATATGGAACTCCTCAGCAGCGCGCGGGACGAAACGGCCGTCCAGGGCTTCCAAGTTTTCCGTGGTGGTCTAGCTTCAACTGACTCATGATCTTAACCATTGAAATTACTATGATATCCACAAAACCCATCTGATATTAAAATAAGTAATATCCTAGTCAGTAAAAAAATTAGATTTTTTGATGTTTCGTGACTTCTTCAGAGAATAAATAAACAACAAAATCAAAATTAATCCAAGTTCAAATAGTACGACGGAACAATAAGAATATTATGTGATCAATCAATGTCATGTCATTTCGGTTAAGGTGATTCATAAGCGACCTGTATGCAAATTTGTGTGTATGTGTATGTGCAATTAAGGATGAAAATAGTGTGACCTTTATGGTGAGAAAGGATAAAGTTTAGATGGTGGTTGGAGGTAGTCAACAGGAAACCCTGGACCCGGGTTTCGTGCTACTTGGCACTCGTCAGCAAGGTATACCTGTAATCTTGAGGGAACTGGTGCTCCCTGGCCGATTCGATCTCGTGTCACCCAGCTTCACAGTCAGAGACGTTACCACTGAGCTATCCGAGCCGTGACTAATCTCCTGTAGGACTGAGATGTAATCACAATTGATTGATCACTGGGTGGTGATCAATCTCATGCTTGTCTAGTCCTTATTAGTGCAGATCGAATGCTATCGATCATGTTTATTTGTAAGATAATAGTATGAATAGTGAATAATATCAGACTAGGTGGCTAAGATAGATGGTCCAAGTAGGACGTATGGTAAGGCCTTCTTTTCTATTGAGAGAAGTAGGATTAAGCATTATATGGAAAGCTTCAGCTACTCTCCTTTCTTTGTAATGGGAAAAACCTTTTTGTAATTTTTTGATATTTTTGAAATCGATTTGGTGGTTGTTGAAAATGGTATGAACTGCTATTGCCGATTTAATTTGAAGTCTATCCAGTTCTACGGTTTCTTTGTGTACTTAATATGTTCTTCGGTACAAGTCAAGATTTCGCAAGATAACTCTCCAATATAAAAGGCATCACAATCGACACAATGTAATTTGTAGACTCAGTTCTGTATTGACATGAAAGGTATTTTTTTCTTTTAAGCGAACTAAAGTATTTCGAAGTATGTTCATTGTTTTGTAATATAATTTAAAATTGTGTTGTTTTAAGATTCTTTGGAGTTCCTCTGTTGTGCCATTACGGTTTATGATTTATTCAGATCTGTTTTTTAATTGATCACACAGTATTCGTATTGTTCCGCTGCACTATTTAAACTTGGATTAATTTTGATTTGGTTATTTATTCTCTGTAGAAGTCCCTTACACTTAGTCACGAAACGTTAGAAGATCTAATTTTTCTACTCATTGCAATATTACAAATATAATTATTTTAATAGATGAAATCATGAGTCAATTGAAGCCAGACCACCATGGAAAACCTGGAAGCACTGAACGGCGCGTGAGACTGATAGGTCCTGGGTTCGAATCTCGCGGGAGGCAGTCATGGGTGCGCACTACTGAGGAGTACCATACTAGGATGAAACGGCCGTCCAGGGCTTCCATGTTTTCCAGCGTGGTCTAGCTTCAATCGACTCATGATTTCAACTATTGAAATATATTATTTATTTATTTTTTATTATTAATGTTATCATTAATAGTGATTGTTTGTTTTCTTTCATTCCAATAGGTTCTTAGGTCAAACCACAATATTTTTGGACCACAAATGTTAATTGATCTTATAATTGGTACACAGTGGTATCAAAGTGGAAATTTTCCACGTGTTTCATTTTGTGATTTAGATATGCGTAAAATGGGAAAAAATTATCATAGATATACATTACAATGTGTATTAAGTATTAATATGTTTAATGAAAAAATTTTCATTTTTCTTTGGTTCTGGTTTATTGGTATCACTTTAATAAATATACACAGCTTCTTACGTTGGTGTTGTAGGTAGGTATTTTTTAAATCTAATTACATAATAGATTTATTATTGTTTTATTTATTTATAGTTTATTTCATTTTGAAATTCCCACCTTTTTGATTCTATGTCTCACTTACTGATAGATTACATTTGTTTATTTGAATCATTATGTGTTTATTCATTATGGACTAGTCGGTTTTACGGTTTAAGTGTAGTTTCACTGGTTGTTATATGATCAATTACTTAAATAAGAGTTTGTGATTTCCACGTATCATATTACAAAATTGAATATGAATCCCTTTTACTTTATTCGATAAAGATTCACATTTATGATGACTTAACAATTACTCTTCCATTTGTTAGATGGATTAATAGATAAGGTTTACATAAAAATGGTACTATACAGTCTAAATTTACACTTTTAATGACTGCTGTACTTTGATTGTGATTAGAATTTTAAACATTATTTGTCGAGGTCCTAAATATAAATAAGAAAATTGAAACAACTAATACAAAAATAAATTAAAACTTCACCCTGTTGCCCAATCTAATGGCTATCTGGACTCAGTACTTAAGTGAACAATGCAATGGAGTTTAAAGTGAACGGTACTGAGTTTGGGTCTTGGAGTAAAGATCAACTCTGGAATGCAGGTTCTTCCAGTTGACGAATTCTATATAGGACGAAACGTACGTCCTGAATTCCATTATTAACCATAATCCATCTTTACGTATGTTGTTTTATGTTGTAAGTCGATGATCAACTGACTTGAAAAACGTTAAAAAATAATTTACATTTATTATTATTTCGACATTTTATGTTTCAAAAATAGTTATAATAATTTCCTAGTCAGCTTGATGCAATTACGTAAACAGTGAAAATGAGATGTTCTTAAAAAAATCGAAAGGTACATTCACACTAATCGTTGTAGTGTCGATTACTATGTTAAGCCCATATAACTTATTATAGCTTCTGGACAGGGCAAAATTTATCCAGTCTTTTTGAGCCACGTTTTGACCTTGTTAATTATTCACTTATCAATCCTGACTGTTTTTATATGAGCATATATGTGTATACACTTCATAGCCTATTCATCACATGTCTGTAACCTATTTTTTTCTGGCTATAATTATTGATTAGCGCTTGACTAAATGGGGTTAGCTCACATGCCTTCTCTACCGCGCAACTTTTTGTTTCGCTTCGCTTTCTCATCTTAGCTTCATTCTCTACGATTCTCTGATTGTCTATTCCGATCAACGAGTGTACAAAATGTACGTATTCAAACATCCAGTCGAATGGATTTCCTAGCATTTAATCATCAACTCAACGAATACATATGTCAGTATGGGGTTGTAGAGATTGTTGAGTTCAAGCTGATATAATGAATGGATCAATGTTAGACCACACTGGAAAACATGGAAGCACTGGATAACCGTTCCTTCCTCAGCAGTGCGAACCCACTATCCCGAACGTGGGACTCGAACCTAGGACCTTCAGCCTCACACACGAACTCTTGAACTCTAGACCACTGAGCAGGCATCTAACGATATCTAACTTCAATCAATCCACAGTATTGCGTGATCATTCTTCATAATCTTCGGTGAGTAACTACCTCACACTTGACACAGTCGAGCTCCACTGATCATGGATTCTTACTAGAACTCCGAGAATTATCTCTCTAAGCTAGTCACTAATGAGCACACGGTAATTCTCAGTATCGAGTTGTGGAGATTGTTGAGTTTTGATTGAGTTCATGAGAGATTGTATATATGTATATATACTTTAGGAATAAACGGAACTGTTCACTGACTGGTCACTGAGTAGTAATCATTGTCAAATTGATCTAAGCACTTTGACTTATAGTCTCATTCTAATTTGATTTATAGGATTCAGTCAGTATTAATAATTAGATAAACATGCCACTGATTACTATTCAGTATCTAGTCCGTCTTCCAGAAAATGATTTGTAACCCAGTAAAAGTATCATCGTACAATGCAGAAGAGTTAGTAACTTTAAACATCACACAGTTTTGTAAGGTAAAATATCAGTATAGGGTTGTGGAGATTATTAAGTTTTTGATTGAGATCATGAACTGATTGATGTTAGAGCATCATTGAAACAGTGCACATCCACGATCGTGCGAGACTGAAGGCCCTGGGTTCGAATCCCGTGAGCGAGATCGTGGATGCGCACCGCTGAGGAGTCCCACAATAGGACGAAATAGCCGTCCAGTGTTTCTAAATTTTCAATGATAGTCTAACATTAATCAGTTCATGATCTCAATCAATAACGTAAAATAATTTATTAGATTTGTATAGATTATATCTGCTTGGACAGAAAAAATTAAGATAAAGAAGAATCAATAACAATGAAAACCGGATAATATAAAGAAAAAGTATACAAAATGAAATGAACAAACTATGAAAAAAATATATTTGATTCAAAGAAACGAAAACACAATCCATTTATTCAATGGCTTTAATACTGAAACATGTTTACATTGTTTCAATTGACTTGACATTCTACATTCGATGATATTCACAGTTAACATTCAGGACGGTAATACAGTTATAGACCACTATCTGTATTTATTCAGTTATATTTTGGTGTTCGTTCTTTGTTTCAACTCGATTTTGTTCACATTGTTTTTCTATATAATACTTTTTGTTGTTGTTAAAATCTTCTTTCCATTTAGATCAACATTTCAAACTAGTCGAGTATGTTTTATTAGAAGTTTATTATTTAATAAAATCTCAATGAAGATAAACAATAATAATATTAATAATAATAAATCAGACTATTCATCAAATAATACTAATTCCAATGTAACACAAAATTCTGATTACCAGTCGACTAGTCAACAATCAACAACAATACAATTAGCTGATTCATTATCTTCTGAATGTTATAATGAACAATTATCAATAACTGATAAAAAAGCATCAGCATTTTTTACTGAACATATTTTAGGACAAGATGGTGTATTTGTATTGCGTTTAATTGCATTAAATGTTGGCCAATATATTGCATCAAAAATAGCTTGTCTTATTTGGGACCGTTATAGACTTGTAAATAATACATCAAAGTATACACGTACAATAAAGAGAACACAAGAAACACCTATAACGACGACGACGATGATGACCACCAGCACCACCGCCACAACAACAACAACAAAATCACAAACAAAACATGTTGTAACCAGTAGTATTAGACAACTGTCGAATATTGTTCAAAATCCACCTATTCCTGAAAGAAAAGATAAAATTAAACATAATAAAGAATTAAATTCATCAACATCTAATTTAAATGAATTAGATAATATTGTAAGGATTAGAACATTAAATGCATCTAATACAATTGGACAATATTCACAAAGTTTACCATCACAATCATCTATATATAGTTTAAGAAATTCTTTTAATAATTCTTATGATCATTGTTCACATTCTGATAGAAATTCCTCAAATAATTCAAGAATTCAAAATTTAAATCAAACAAATAATTTTGTTTAAAAAATATACTACTTATAAGTAACATTATTTCATTATATACATATAATTAAGTTTATGAACAAGCGAACATAGATAACACTAACAGAATATCTCTATGGATTTCATTATTGTGATATTTCAATTACATAATTTCTTATATCTACTAATTAGATAATCATTTATTTTCCTATTCATTAAATATGCATAATATTCTTGGAATTATTCAGTCTGATTGTTATTTTTGTCGGAATAAGAGTTTGTGGGAATTGTAGTAATTTAATGGTTGAATTCTTGTATCGATTTAAATTAGATCATCTGAAAAACCTGGAAGCACTGGATGGTCGTTTTGTTTTAGTATGAGACATCATTGGATACCGAGTCAGTGGTTTAGAGATTAAGTATTCGCGCATGAGACCGAAAGTTCTGAGTTCGAATTCTACGTTCAGGATTGTGGATGCTCATTGCTGGGGGAGTCCAATACTTAGGACGGAACGGTTATCAAGTGCTTTCAGGTTTTCTAGGGTAGTCTAGACTAAATCGACTCATAAAATAATTTCTTGAATTAATTAACATTAGAATTTTGTGACATTTTTTGTTTTTTTTTCTTTGTAAAATAATTCATATGTACTGAAGAATAAATCATTTTATCTGGTGAATATGAAAATAATATCACTTAATGAGAATAATGAGGAAATAAAGAGAAAAATAGAATAGTCTAGGGGATAGATCAATCTTTTATTATATCATTAACGAAAATTCACAAACGTAAATATGTATATATTTTTAATTCTTTACTTACGCCTGTTACCCCTCACGGAAGAGCACAGGCCGCTCACTAGCATCCTCCATCCTTTCCAGCTCATTCCAGTTACTATTCAACCTTTTGATGTCGGCTTCCGATTCCGGGTGCAGTGTATTGTTTGGCCTTCCTTTTTTGCGTTTCCTTTCAGGATTCTAAATTAGCGCTTGCCTCGTGATGTAGTTTGATGATTTTCTCAAAGTGTGTCCTATCCACCTCCAACTTCTTTTCCCAATTTCCTCCTAAGCTGGAAGTTGGTTTGTTCACTCCCACAGTAGTTTGTTACTGATAGTATAAAGTCAACAACGGATATTGAGTATCTTGTGTAGACAATTGTTTATAAATACTTCTACCATTTTGATGATGGTTGTGGTAGTTATCGAAGTTTCAGCTCCGTACATTAGAACTGTCTTGATGTTTGTGTTGAAGATTCTGATATTGGTTGACAATTCTTTTGAGTTCCGTATGTTCGATAATACTTTTACTATTGGTATGCGTTTTTATATACAATTCATTCTATGTAGGACAACTAACAAAAATCGAAAAAAAAATAAAACAGGTACTTTATCATAGTAATATGACTTTTCATTTGAGCATATTCAATGCATATTACACATGAGTCCTGTATTCAGTTCTTAGTTGGATCATGAGTAGACATTGCTAAGGATTCTCATTGTAGCATAAAATAACTATCTTATACCTCCTGGTTTTCATTAGTTGTCTGGCTAAAATCAGTACTTGACGTGAAGTACAATATATATGTTACTGACTGTAGCATCTGACCATTAGTGTTCTTTTATGCCTAACTAGGAGGTATAAAGTTATAGATGTTGTATGACAAAAACGTTTGAAACATATTGCAAACAATAATTTATCGAATATGATACAAAGTGAAAATAGGCTTTATAAAAAAATGGTGTATTATTCTGGCTAATAAATTAAAAATCAGATTGTCATAGTCTGTGAATAACATAGCTAGGGCAACATGCCATAGAAACCAGATAAAGAATAATAATCATGAGAATAGAATGAACAGTATGATAAGAAATGTATGTAATAGAGAGTCAGCTTAAGATTTTCTCAGTTACCTCAAATAATATTCTACAAACTATGACATTCATTACTACAAAAATGCACTGAGCCATATTAAATTACCTCATAACATTTGATCAAACTGTACAGAATCTCTTATTCATTACTATCAACAACCATTATTCTTCTTAATATTCGGTTAATAAAATGTATTATATATCATTTAATTAGTTGACAAGTCAGTTGACAGCTCAGTTAAATACCTTATGATACTTTATGTATTATAGTTATTAATTATCCATTAATATCACAAAACAAAACATGACAGTTTGACGAATGTTATCTTTGTATATACAAAGATAAATGAAAAAGTGTCAATTGTATGACAATTTTTGCTCTTAATAGTTGAGATCATGAGTCAATTGAAGCTAGACCACCATGGAAAACCTAGAAGCACTGGACGGACGTTTCATCCTAGTACGGGACTCCTCAGCAGTGCGCATCCACGATCTCGCCTAGCGAAATTTGAATCCAGGACCTATCGATCAGGCGCGAACGCTTAAGTTCAAGACCACTGGGTCGGCGACCGACGGTGTTAATGTCAAACTTCAACTAATCCACGAAATTCAGCGACACATCCCTCATTGTACTCAGTGAGTTACTATCTCACACCAGACTCAGTTGAACTCCACCGGTCACTGCTCCTCACTGGAACTCCAAGAAATACCTCTTGAAGTCAGTCACTATTGGGCACATGTTGATTAGTATCAGAAGGGATTTTTGTGGATATTACAGTAGTTTTAATAGTTGAGATCATGAATCAATTAAAGCCGGACCGCCATGGGAAACATGGAAGCACTGGACGGTTGTTTCGTCCTATTGTGGGACTGTCTGTTTTATTTCTTAAAATATTAATGTTATCTATGGACACAAAAGTACACCAACACTTAAACCATCATTGATAATTGACTGTTAATAATCATTTTAAATTGTTGTCAAAACAAAATCAACATTTGATAAACTGTTACGTAATTATGTACATGAAATTACAAGGACTATTTCAAAATATTAAAACAGTCAATTAATCTTATTTTTGTATAATTTAAAAAGAATCCATTTTATCTCTGCTTTCTTCGTGACATTATAACTGTAATAAATGCTATCTGTATAATATGAAGTATCATTTGACAAAGACAATAGAACATATTTCTAGTTATCTGATCATCAGGCTAGAACAAATATGTTTCATACTTTGGAAAATTATCTTCCTACTGCTACTGTTTCAAATTAGTCAATATAGTCTATCATCAATTGACCATAGGAGATCAAACATAAACATATAAAAACTTACTATCATTATGTAAATGATTTCATAGATTATATCTCATATATTTTGCATATTTTGTAGATTATGTCATAATGTCAATTATCTAACTACTGAAAACCAAAGAATATTGGTCAGTGTGCTTTACACGATCTCTGGTCGTCTACACTTTACAACAATTTTGTTAAGTTGACATTATGGAGTCGACATTCAGGTTTTCACAGTATCTGTTATAACTTGTGGCCTATGTGCCCTGTTAATGTATACGTAATGATACCGCCAATTAGAGAGCAGTGAATTATCGATCGGATCAATGATGCATAAAACAAGTACGAGCAGTCTAGAGTCTTTATGGTTCCTGCTTCTCTCCTAGTCCTGCCTTTTAAGTCTAGAACACCAATCTCAGCCTCTGCAATATGAATCGTTTAGTTCAAGGATATTGCGTTTATATAACAATCAGACAGACCACATCGTACCAATAAAATAGAAATTTAAATACCAATAATCACTATGACAAATTTGTTTGAAAATTGAAAAGAAAAATTCAAATCTAATATTCTTCATTTTGATGGCGAGATTATAATTTATGGACGAACCAATCAGATATAAGATAACAGGTCTCAAATTTTCGCGCGAAATTCACTCATCCATTTGGCTAAATAGAGTTTTGGCATTATAACGGATGTTAGTTCGTGATGAAAACCTTAAATCTAATTCTTAATCTTAACCATCAATTGTAAATCCTAATTTGAATTCCTCACACTAATTTATAACCCACATTTAGTCATGGTTATTAGGTGAACACTTTCAAGGTCACTTTGGTGTTACTCATAGGTCGTCCATAAATTATAGTCTCACCGACTTATTTATCGATTAAATTCATTTGAACTTTTATTATAACTAAGTAACTGTCTCCGTATAAACTATGTTTTCTCACCCCACTAGATTAAGACTATTAGAAATTCTGAAAACAGCAAGAACAAATATTCTAGCAGAATAACATGAATTCATTTTACAGTGTTGGTTCCCGTTAGCTGCTTACAACCTGTGATATTTAAAAATCATAATTACATAATAGGTTTAAATTACCTGCATCAGAGTGTTTAGTTGGAAGTTATATCGAAGACATATCCGTATAGTATTAGAAATTCTATGAATTATAAATAATTGGTATTGTAGTGAACAAGAACAAGAGTGGGGACAATCGAATGTATTTGAGCACACAATTACAGAGCATCTCAATATAGTTCATAGTTAGTTTTCAAAATATCAATCCATTGTCTCAAATTTGACTTTTACTTTTGCAAATATCAGTCCATTGTCTCGGATTTCATTGTTCATGCATTTTCATAGCAATTGCGTTTCGTTTCCACTCTTTCCTTCTCGATCTTCTTCTGAAACACATTCTATGTCTGACCACCGTTATATATTACATATATGGATATAAGTAACCCACACCACAGTCTCGCGAGACGAGACCGTGGATGTGCACTTCTGAGGAGTCCCATACTAGGACGAAACGGCTGTCCAGTGCTTCTGGGTTTTCCATGGTGGTTTAGCTTCAATTGACTCATGATTTCAACTACTGAAATCTCTAAAAGTAATATATTTACCATGTGTTGCTCTATTTGATATCTTAATTTTTGGATATCTTTCCGATCAAAAATAAGATTTTAAATGACAATGAGATATTAGTTCTCTCATTCAGAATAATATGTAATCACTATTGTAGTTTCCTTATTTCCATTCATTTCAGGTTTACTTTAAAATTGATGACATTCAATTTGTTTACTTTTACCTAACAGTGTTACTGAATACATTTGAATAATTTAAAACAAAACATTAGACTTGCATTAATGAACTGAATTTCAGTTATATTGTAAGTCTGTTAACGTTTTTTTCTGAATCTCGAAACTGGTTTTGTGAAATATCAATAATTATGCAGTTAGATCTAGTCCTTAAGTTCATACTATTATACAGTACATAAGAATTACGCGTAGCGCATTAGTTTAAGATCTCGATAATCAATAAATTTTCCACTGACTTTTCTAAGTTATATCTAATTACGTAATAGTGGGGTGTTGCTAACAGACTTTGTTATTACTAACCTAGAACGACATATGCCGCTATCAACATGTACTTTTACCTATTATATATGGTGACTTATTCTATTTCATTGTGATTATTGACCCGAATTGCCTTGATTGCTTTAACATTTTCGTATAAATATTCATGTATATTAGAGTAAAGCCTGATGACGATCTAATTGAAAACAATTGTTCGCTTACATATGTTGTTCTAATTATCCAAAGTTATCGAAAATGTAACACTATAAGTACTGATATCACAGATTGAAATGAATGGAGAGTAAAAGTTAAAGAAAAATAAAGGATGAAACATATTATGTAAGGAGAATAAAAGACGCTGAATAAACATACATTTTTATTCTGAAGTATAATTTGCATTATCTAATAGGATGACACTTTGATTGAATTGTATTTTTTCTTCCTATCTACATTTTTAGTTTGTATTTCTCAGTCTGATAATATC